GGGTGAGGGTGGGGTTTGGGGGGGGGCGGGTCAGATATGATTGCAGGGATAGAACCTACCACAGAATCATTTCCTCCTTATATACTGAAGATGAAACATTTTTATAATACAAATTTGACCTCCAAAGACATTTAGAAAATTTTTTTAAAAATTAAGAAACTCTCACAAAGGATAAAATTAAAATTGCTCATAATCCCATTACCTGAAATGACCACCATTAATATTTAAGTAGATAAGCACCAACCTTTTTATGTACATGGAACTCTTCATTATAAATGGGAAATCATATTATAATACTATTATGTAATCTACCTTTCAAAAATAGATTCCAAAATCTACCATGTCTGTAAAATATTTTTCAATTTTTGATATATAAGATTCCAGTAAATGAATGTAAAACAACTTATTCTCCCACTGTTGGAAATTTAGACAGTGTCCAGTTTTCTACCATTATACATAATCAACAGACACTTCACTAGACAAGATTTTTGACAATTTATTTTGGATAAATTCCTAGGTCACTGAATTATAAATGTATGGGTTTTGGAATATGTTGCCATACTATCCTCTAGAAAAATTGTATGGATTTATATAAAGAATAACTCAATCTTTCCGGTAGAGTGTGCAGTAAAAGCAACACTCTTCCAACATAAGTAACGTTTTAAGCTCACATTAAAATTTCTAGGTTCAAATTTAGTGATTAGAAAAGGCAAAAAAAATTTTAAATACACATGTTCTAAAAACCCGTGAGTGATTTAGGCAGGATGTACCAAGAACCTTAAGACATGGGTTCCCTTTGCGCTGAAATTCCACGCTTGGGACTGTATTCCAGGGAAATCATCTCAACAAAGATGTGTATATAAAAATATTCACTGCAACCTTATTTATAATAACAAAAAGTTTAAACAAACTAAAAGTCCAACAAGAAGGCTTACAAAAGTGAATTATGGTATGACCACAGACAGGCTGTTTTGCAACCATTAGAAATGTCTGTTTACAAAGAGCTTTTTAAGACACAAGAAAATGCTAATAGTTTTAATGCTGAACAGAAAATAAAAAGCTGGCTACAAATTGTATGTACAGTACATGTTCTCAATCATGTTTAAAACTATGTAGTTTAAAAAAGGAGGGAAAGAAGAAAAATTCCAAAATGTTAAGAGCAGTTGCTCCTGCAATGTGGGATTATGGGGTGAATTTTTCCCATTTTTTAAAATAGTCTTCTGAACTCTACATTTTCTACAATGAGCATCCAATACTTTGATAATCAGGAACAAAGTAAACAAATATATATTTTAAAACTGCTTGATAAAGCAACAACCAGTCCCTGCCTATTTACTTATATAGAAACACACACCAAAAACTCCAGAGCGGTGCCTTCTGTCAGGAAAAGGGAACAAAGTGAAGCGTGTACAAGACTGTCTCCTGATGATTTCCTTACTTGGCCTTTGAACCACAGGACAGTAAAAAGTTATTATCAATAATGGAAAGAGCTAATACTTAAATGAGAATATCTTAAATAATAAAGATTGTTGTGAAATATATGTAGCATGATCTTTTTTCTTGTAATACGACATACATGCTTATAGAGATCATTTGAATGTTAATAATGGTCATCTCTGGTGATGGAATTTCAGTTACTTTCTTATTAATTTTTTAAAAATTTACACTAAACTTGGTTTGGTTTAGTATCAGAAAAAAATAATACTTCTCACTTTGAAAAATAATTAACAGTAACAAGCACTGAATAAAAAAATCTAATCTGAAGAGGACGGTGAGAAGCCAGGTGCTCAGGAGTGAAGGCTTCCAGCAAGGCCTTTGTCAAGCGGGTTTCATCAGGAGAGCTGGCGGCTGAGCATTCTTCCTTTCTCAAGGAGCATGGGCACTGGTCCCTGAGGCAGACGCCCACACTTGCTGAGCGAGGAGTGATGAAGGTCTGGGAGTCCACAGGCTTACCATGAGGAAGCAGCCAAGAAGCCAAGTGTCCGCTGTAGCGATGAACACCCCGGGGAGATGGACAAGAAGCTGGCTCAGCTGGGGCCGGGGCCTGATCAGGGCGCAGAGAGGCCAGCCTAGCCTCTGAACCTCTATCAGCCGATGCAGGGAAAGAGGTGAACACCGAGATGGCAAGAAGGGAGCTTTGAGGGTCTAGGTGTCAGGTAATGGTGCTTCTAACAGCACCAGGGCAACCCTGCAGGGCAGGAATTACAATCCCTTTTTACAGTAGAATCAGACTGAGGAGTCAACTTCCCCAAGGTCACCAGGACATCAACTGCAGAGCAACCTCTTTCCACTTGACCCATTCCACACCCTCCATGTCTGCTTTTGCAGAATCATCTAGGGTACTTTTAAAAAATACACATTCCTGGGCAGACATGCTGAATCAGAAAATACAGGAGCAGGGCCCAGGGATCCATCTAAAATTCTCCCCTGGATGACTGTCTGGCCCGGCCTGTGACTGGCACTCAGCCTGCTGGTCCACGAGAAGGGGGGCAGTGAGTCAATGTATGGCTTCCTTGTGTCTTTGCCTTCCACTTCCTCCCCCTTCCTCCACATCCTGCTTGCACGCCTGTTCAATCTTACTAAAAAATGCTTTCACTGTCAGCGAGGTGGCTTTGGGTGAGCACTTCACAGTACACTCAGCATTATAAATTCTGTCTCCTAAACAGTGGTGAATTCATCTCCCTACTTAATTCCACCTGTACCACTCAGGTTCAGGCCACCACCTCTGCCTGGTTAGATTTCTGCAACAGCCTTCCTGCCTCCAGTTTTGCCCCCTGCAATCTGTTTTCTGAACAGCACCCATGGTCATTCTTCACAAACACAGAGGTGATTTCCCCACTGCCTGGAAAAAACATTTCAAGGGAGTTACTCTAAAAAATGCAAGACCCCTAGACCACACTTCAGACCCCAACTCAGTCTCTGTGAGTGGGGTCCCAGATACCTGTATTTTTATAAGCTCCTCAAGTGATTATGATGCTGTGGTGGATTAGATGGTTGTTCAAAAAATATTCACTCCCTCCTCCAGAACTCCGTGAACAGAAATACTTCCCTGCCCCAGTGATAATGGGGTTGGCCAGTGGGATGTGACAGGAACAGGTGCTTAAAATGTACGTGAGTGGTTGGGGCTCTACCCTTGGTGTCTGCAGTTGCCATGCATAGATGCCCTGGAAGGCTTGTTGACTCCAGAAGGTTGAGAGCTACAGAAAGCAGACTTAAACCCAATCAGAGATATGGAGCCAAGCCCACTGAGCCCAACACAGAACAGCTATATCCCAGCTGTCTACAGATATGAGGAGATGAAATAATGCTTGATATTGTAAATCACTGAGTTCTAAGGTAGTTTGTTGTACAGCATTATTGTGGCCACAGGTGACTGATAAAGATGCACAGCCAACATGGGAATCTTTAGACACGTTAAGAGTCCAAACTCCTCAGCGTGGAATACAAGACCTTCTATGAGCTGGCCGGCCACCGTCTTATCTGTCCACCTCCTGACCTCAGCCTAGGCCCATGGTTATCTAAGTGAACACTGTTCTCAGACATCACCACCTCTGCACACACTGTTCCAGCCTCCCTGCTTGTCCCCCAGTTTCACTCCAGTAGCTCCTTTAAGACACGTATAAGCATCACTACTTGGCACACTAAGAACACTGTCAAATTCTCACTTCTCAGCACCCAGACCACCTCCGCAGACAGAGAGCAGTAGTGCATGGGCTCTGAAATCAGCCTGCCTGGGTTTGGATCCCATTTCTACTGCTTACCGGCAGTGTGACTTGGGGCAAATTACTCTGCTTCTTTGAACCTGTTTCCTCGTTCCCCACACCTCGCAGCTTTGTAGCTATGAGGATAAATGAAGCGATGTGGGCCCAGCAGAGCCTGGCATGCAGTGAAAGGCCACCAGATCTCCTCCTCCCTTGCCCCAGGGTCCAGCATGGGCGAGGCCCAGGACAGAGACCCAGGCAATGAGGCCCATCAGTGAAATACCAGGGTACGGGGTCTTTGTTTTCCTCACCTCGGACATGAACAAGTGATTTCCTGGACCAGATGCAGAAACATTACCTCTGCTGGGAACAGTACCTGCTTTTCTATGAGCCGAATGGTGTCCTCCGAGGCCTTGTCCTTTGATTTCTTCAGCTTATTCATTGCGTTGCTGCGAACCTTCCGTAAGGAGTCTTTGGCCTTGTTGGTGTTCTGTTTGGCCAGTTTCGCCAGCATTTCCCTGTGTTCCCTGGTTACTCTGATAAAAGGCAGAAGGAGGTTCAATAAAATCATCCCGCACATTAAGTGTAGCCAAGACTTTAACATCACGCTGTCCGTGAGCTCAGCAGTTGTAACCTTACTCTCTGGTGGATGAGCCTCCCACTCCGACACGCGTGGGGATGCTAGGGTCAGGCATAGTTCAGGAGCTGGCAGAGGAGAGCCGGTGAGAGTCCCGCTCAAAGGCCGAGCAGGGGCCGAGGCAGACGGCGGGTGCCCGAGCCATGACCCTCACGGAGCAACTCACTGTGTCTCCGCAGCTCCCGCTCCACACCGGGAACTGTCGGCGCCCGTCTCGGGCGGTGGTGTGAAGATTACATGAGATGATGTGTGTACAGTGTTTAGCACTGACCCTGGCACATGCTAAGTGCTCAATGAAAGGAAGCGACAATTAGCTATAACTCCATCCCCTTCTCTCCCACCAAGGAAAGCGATCGATGCAAATGAGTGATGACACTATAGGAACAGCATCGTCTCTAAACCTCTAACTCACCAAGAGCAAGTAGCAACCTTCAGAATCTTAACCACTATTAAAGCAAATGACTTGTGAGTCCCCTCAAAACTGACCGAGACACAACACGAGTCCCAACATAACACGTGAGAACTGACGCACCAGTTAACTTCCATAAGGACCATGAGAACATCTGGCACATTACAAATGCTAATGATTGTCAGTTATTTTTACTGTTAACATCCTCATCGTAATCACAACAGCGAGCACATGGAGGGCCACGGCACCAGCAGGACGGGCTCTTTATACGGTGGTCTTTACAGCGGTACGAGGTAGTTATTATTCCTCCTGTTTTATGTTGAATCGTCACAGCGACCCAGCAGAGTAGGCCAGCATGTTTGTCCCGCCTGCGTTTCTTTGTCATGTACACACTGAGGGCCCACTACCTCTCGAAGCCAGTGCTGGGCACTGAGGGCAAATGATGACCAAGACGGACCTTTGTCCTGCTCGTAAGGCCCTCAGCCGGGGAGAGAGGTCAGTAGAGAGAAACTGACAGCACAGTGAGGGCTTGTGGACAGGGACGTGGGGAAGCAGCAGGCGCCCCAGCACAGAAGAAACTCAGCCAACTTACCAGTTTCTGTCCGAGTTTGGAGAGGGCAGTAAGGGAAGGCTTTCCTGGAGACATAACATCTAAATGTGGTCGTTGTTTGGTCTGTTCACTAGCATTCTGGGCATCATTCCTTCCAGTAGGAGCGCATTTCCCCAGCCACTCAGTGTGGCTGCACAACTCACTTTGGCCAATGAAACATGAGAGAAATTATGTGCGTTACCGCAGGGCAGAAGCTTTAAGGGCCAGTGTGTGCTCTACCACAGTCGGTTCTGCTGGCCACAGTGTACGTGCACATGGAACATCCATCAGCTCGGCTCCCGGAGTGCCTGTGATGACCGGCGTCTGTCAGGCAGCATGAGCAGGAACTAAGTTTCTGTCGTGTAAGCCGTGGAGAATGGGATTGCTTGTTACTGCAGCGTAGCCCACTCTAGCCTAACACCACACTGGGATCAAAGGAGTACAGGCTGCCAGGGCTGGCACGGCAAGGGGAGGCTTCCAGAGAAAGCGCAGGGAGAAAGGCTGTGAGCTGCAGAGACCAAGTTTCATTTGAGGAGTTGACTAGAGCGCAGATAATAAAGAAGAGAGTGACAAGAAGAGGCTGGAAATCCATATCATGGAGGATCTTGTAAGATCATGAACACCATTGTACGGATTAAAAACTGAGATCCAAAGCAGTGTGGTATCTTACACAAAGCAAGACCTAGTCTGATCTATCGCAAAAGTCTTAGTATGACAGTGGTCTTAGTATGGTCTTAGGATGACAAAGTCCTCTGCCCCCGGGGTCCTGGAGTGGACATCCTTCGCATATGGTGCCTGACCCTCAAATCAACGTGGTTCTTGCCCGGTAAGGACAATCCCCAGGTCCGGGTACATGTTCTGTGTGGAATGGTGGCGAGCAGGTGTTAAAGATCCACCTGGTATTTTTTCCCTGATGGGATGAGAAGACAACTTAAAAGTTTCGAGAAGGAACACGCTCTGAAGACACACGGACAGCTGTGGCGTAAACAAATCCTTCTGGAATCGGCCAATTAAAGGCATTCTCAAATGAAGGTGATCCTGATTAGTACCATCGCTAAGCCCCTCTGTGCCAGTGTATTATCTCGCTGGTCCTCACAAGTCTACGAGCTGGTTCCCGAACCCCACTCTGCCCAGAGAAAGCTGAGGCACGCAGAGGCTGAGTGACCTGCCCGGGGCTCGAGGGACAGAACCGGGATTCAAACCCAGACCTTTCTGGCCCGTGTTCCCTCCACTGCTCCACGCTGCCTCCCCCTGTAATCGAGTTCACATGAATTATGTGCTGCCGCTACTTCTGCTTCCAGGCAGAGAGCGTTTCAAAGCAGTAACATGAAGCTGAGCACTAACGGACAAAACCGCCATGTCGGAGTTTAGGGATTTGGATCAGAGCTTGTTACTTTTATGGTTTTTAATTCATTGAACAAAAATCATGCTGACATGTTTAGGTCTCTTTTTTGTTCTGCCAAAGCATATGTCAGTATAAGGAAGGAACAGGAAAATTAAAACTTGATCCACTGATTCAAAAAACTTAATCCTGCTGAAATACTAGGAGGGCAGAAAATAAAGGAGTGCAAGTCTGTAAGAAACCTCTTAAACTTCCCCAGCAAGAAGGATTTCAACCTTACATTTCATAGATAGTTTGAAATAGGTATCCTGCTGTTTAGACAACCTTTAATAAAATAAATTCTTTATCTAATCAACATCCTTTTCACTACACTGTTTTATTTATATTTTACATGAAGGGAAAAAAACCCATACATTTAAAAATATAAAAAAAGGGACTCAAAAAAATCTTAAGAGTAAAAGGTGATATAAAGGAAACAAAATCACAATATATGTAATTTGGCCTTAATAAAGTGCATTTTGTATTTATTAATGTAAATATGACATTGCTACACTATTAACACCAGACAGTTTCCACACATAATAGTATCCAATTATTGACACCGACAAAAATATTTCCGTTTCAGATGCAAATACAGAGGCAATAATCTAAGGAAATGGAGACGGGAGCACAGAGAGGAGGGGAAAGGGGGGAGGAAGGGGAGGGGCGCCCACACAGGAAGGGCTGGGTCTGGGGTGTTGAGCCGAGAGGTATCTAAGACGTGAGATCAGAAGCAGTGAGGGTGATGGAAAGGCAGTGGTGTTGAAGTCAGTCCTGTTTCATCCCTGTATCTATCACCCAGAAGCTGACTATGCTTGGGCAAGCTACTTAATTCTCTCTGAGCCTCAGTTTCCCCATCTCTACGGTGAAAAAATTAAGAACACCTTAATGTCTTAAGGTGCTTGGGAGAAGCAATCGCAACATGTATAAAGAACCAGTAGAGAAAGCAGCAAATGATAGCGTTTATGAATGTTTTAATCAAACACTTAATTACTTTCTCATGAAATGAGGGAACATCTGTTTTAGAAAAGAAACATACTATATTATGGAAATATTTTAATGCCTTTCCAAACCAGTGATTAATACATCTGATTGTCCCCTCTCGCATCCGTGGGGTTCTGGGAGCACACGCTAGCTTGTGTCCAGGCTCCTGGACTCAGCCGCTCTGCGCCTGGCGTGCGCTGGTTCAGCAAGCACTGGCCGAGGCCCCTGTGCTCCGTGCCAGACGCTGGGCCAGGCTGAGGGGGATCCAGAGAGGAGGAAGGCCTGGGCCAATTTCTCCAGAGGCTCAGTCCAGTGGTGGGGACAACTGTCAAACACTACTTAGAAAGCGGATGACTGCTGCTAGGACAGAGGGACGGACCTCCTGTGGAGGGAGCGTGCAGGAAGTACCACTCTTACTGCCCCGAGATTTGAACAATGCCCAGGAGATGCAGAGTAACTTGTCAGCTGCAGAAGGAAAGGGCATTTCAGGCAGAAGCACGGTGAGAAATATAAAGGCATGAGGGCCTGAGACTTAAAAGGGTGAGTCAGGGTCAAATTTGTTCCGGAGGCCAGGCGCTTTCGAACCTTCTTTAGCCACAAAACACTCGTTTCTAAGAAAACCAAGGCAGATAGAACAGATAAAAAGAGCTGTTCCAGTGACTTAGGGAAAGGGCATCGGGGGAGGGGGTGGCCTAGGAAGCTCAGCTCCACCCTGACTGCCCTGCACATCTGGGCCCCTACTTACTGGCTGAGTGACCTTAATGAAGCTATTTAAAAATATATCTTTATTGATTTCAGAGAGAGGAAAGGACAGGGAGAGAGAGAGACAGAAACACCAATGATGAGTCACTGATCGAGCCCGCAACCCAGGCATGTGTCCTGACCAGGAATCGAACCCGGATCGCCTGGATCCCAGGTCCACACTCAACCGCTGAGCCACGCCCGGCCAGGCAAGCTATTTAAGCTCTCTGAGTTTTGATCTTCTCATCCGGAAATAGAAATTGAAAACAAAAACTAGCATCTACCTTTCAGAGTTATTGTGAGGATTGGATGAGATAATACATGGAAAGCACACAGCCCAAAGCTTGGTAGAGAATAAGCAATCAGAAACGTAAACTGCCTTTGTTGCAACTGTTGCTTATGTTCTGGCAACCACTGAGGCATCTCCAAATAAGGGAGAGTTTATTCATGAAAGCTTTCAGCAACAGAGGAAGGGCAGGGCAAGCAGTCTATCTCAGATGACTTTTTGAGATCTGACTAGTAATTTAACATCTCATATACATTTTAAAATACAAATACTCCCAGCATATGGCCCTGAAATTTTCTTTTGTCAGTACCCATCCATCCATCCATCCATCCATCCATCCATCCATCCATCCATCCATCCAGTTTACAGTTTCGTTCTATAGCTATTTACTGGGCACCTATTATGTGCCAGCCACTGTGTCAGATACTAGGGATATAGCATCAGACACCCTGAGTTTACAGCCTGGCAAGGAAGGCAATCATTAAACAAACACATGCACAGTTAATCAA